CCTGTTCTTGCTTCTTCTCTCTCTCTTTGTTGGCAGGGGGCTCAGTGGCTTTTATAGCCACCATCGAGGCTCTCGGCGGATCGGTCTCAAGAGTGAGGATCAGTGAGTCACCGAACTATGTGGTGACTCACCCTATAGCTGCGACGTGGACGGCTGTGTGGGATCTCTGGAGGCTTCGGTTGGCATCGTGGCAGCAGAGGTAGAGGCGGTGGCAGTGGATCGTCGGCAGTGGCCGGTTGGAATACTTGGCAGCAGAGGCGGCGGCTGTAGTCCCTAGGGTATCATAACCCTAGGGCTTCCCTCTGGAGGCTTCTGGACCGTGGGATCTTGCCAGATCCAACGGCTAAGATTGAGGCGGCTGGCTACTGAGATGATAAAACCCTAATTGGGTTTAGGGTTTAGCTGGATCCGGGTTAGGCTTGTATCTGATTGGGCTTGGGCATGTAAACGGATTGGGCCTCATTTGGGCCTGAAATGTAATAATAATATATTTTAATAATAATAATAATAATAATAATAATAATAATAATAATAATAATAAATAACAAATGACAAATGGATAAAAAAATTAGTATCTTCAGGGTATATTATCGGGAATGTCATTACCTCCCTTCCCTTAGGTATTGTAACATTACCGGCGTTTTGGACTAAAATGCCCTTAAATTTTTTATTTTTTTTTCAAAAATATCATTCTTCTTTCATTGAATAATAAAAATTCTACGAAGGTTAAATTACAAATTTATCCTTAAATTATTTTAGATTTACAAAAAAAAGTCTATAATTAAAATTTTATATGAAGTTCAGGGGTTAAAATTTTTTTTACCCTTTCATTAAACCTTTTTTATATTTTAATTTTGTAAAAAAATTATATAAATATTATGAATTTAATTTTTTAAAGAAAATATATAAATATTTTACAATTTGTAATATTATACAAATATATAATAAGGACAATTTGGTCAAATATACATTCCAATAATCTTTCATTCCTTTAACCAAACACGGTAATCTTACATTCCTGCTAAACCAACCAAACAAAAAATACAACATTTCCAGTAATCCTATTCCCTGATAATCTTTTATTCCCACTGGTAATATTACATTCCATGAACCAAACGCACCCTCAGGGAAAGTTCACAAACTTTTGGCAAAGTTTCCAAGCTTTGCATTCCTGAAACTTTTATGCAAGCTTCAAAATTTTAAGGGTGGGGTTCTCAAATTACACACTGATTTCAAAACTTCATGATTAAAAGCTTAAAAATTGCTCTTTTAACCCTTCAATTGCTGATACTTTTCTAATTGATCCCTATTTATAACTATTAAACAATAAAAATGAACTTTAAGGTCTTATATGAAAGAAATAACATGTTTAATATATGAATTATCCATTTAGTGAAGAGAATAAGAAGTGTAAAGTGATTTTTAGGATAAATCCTTAAAATTTGAAAATTACCAATTTAGTCCATTAACTTTTAAAATGTTACAAACTAGTCCCTAATCTTTTCTTAGGGCTATTATTGTATTAATAAGATCAATTATGTATGAGAATAACTTGATTATACATTTTTGTACTATGATTTTGATTATAAGTATTGATTTTAATTTAATTTTTGAGGAAGTCCCTAATGATTTAATATTGTATATCAGGTGCTATGAATGTAGTAATTTGCATTTTTAAGTTATTTTTGTCTAAATATAATCTTGAAGTATTTTTTATGTGCTTAAAATAGTAATTTGTTAATTTATGATAATTTATACTTAGATCCTTAAGCTTTTGAAAAGTTTTAGTCCGGTCCTTAAGTAAGATATTACTTTAATAATGATTAACAATTAAGGTAATCATTAGATAGATTATAAGTTCAAGGTTTTAAAGGAGATAATATAAAATTATTTATGAATATGTTCTTGAACCTTTGAAAAGCTACAACATAGTTCATAAGCAAGAGAATTAATATGTGATTTGACTGATAAATGAAAAAAATCCGATGATAAGATATGAATTATGATGCTTGATTTTTTTAGAAGATTGAAATTTTATCTTATGTATGTTTTCTGGTTATTTCAATTCGATTTAATTTATGTTAACATCTCTGATCCGATTTTCATCTAGACCTGATCGAGGATGTTATAATTTGGTATTAGAGCTTAGGTTGAGTCGATTCTAGGACTAAATCGAAGTACATTTTTTGTGTAATGTTTTGAAATGTACATGTGCCTCCTAAGAGTTTATTTATGCTTGATAATTGTGACTTGCAACTAATACAATATGATTTATTTGTGCAACATATAAGATGTTGGATATTCCAATAAGTTATAAGATCTCGAACTATATAGTGATTCCCTTGGTTAAAAAATGAATGAAGTATATAGAATTTCTTTAATTCTTGGATTCAGATAATATTTCTCTAATCCTTATTTCAAAATAAAGTTTGATATAGATGGTCTAATTTTAAGATATGTCATAAGATTCTAAAAGGTTCATATAGCTAATGAATCTATATCATTCTAAGTCTACTCATTCTAAATTTTTAGATTTGTTTGATAAGTTACTCTTTTAAAAAAAGTCATATATGAACTCCTATGGTCACAGGGTTATCAAGTTTGCATTGCAATTTCTGTTAAAAGCTTCATATCTTTGCATTTTTGAGAAGGTGATCTTCGAGGTTCCTCATGAATTAATTAAGTATTTGAAATCCTAAGGATCTGATTAGACAAGTCTCTCTATATGTACTGAAGGGGTAAACATTAGTTTCAATAAGTCTTCTGATTAAGATGTCTAGACCTGTTGTGAAATAAGTTCGATTTAGACAATTTAATCTTAAGATATGTCATGAGAATTCCAAGGAATCTCTATAAGTTATGAATCTATCTTCTATTTTGATTATAATCTTTGATGTTTGCCTGATAAGTTATTCATGATAAGCTCTTTTTGAAAGACTTAAGGTGAGGATCAATTTGAATGATATTATTCATAATTCTAAATAGTTCATAGAATATCGATTAAAAAATTCTAAAATCTTATGCGATCATTAAGTTAATCAAATTCATTTTGCAATCCTTACTAGGATTTAGAGCTCAGAACCATGTCTTTATTTTTATCTTATACAAAAGTGATATTTAAGATTCATTATGAATCAATCCATTATTGAAACCTTGGTAATATGATTTTACAAATCTTTTGTTAAAATAATCTCAGTCGAGATAACAGTATTTGAAATATTCTTTTATGATTCAAGATTTTGAATTTCATAAATCCCCTATGTTCTCAAAGACTGATGTATATTAGATCGTTTAGAAATACTTATGCATCTTCTAAGAATGATTTCTACTCTAAACTAATTTCTCAAAAATTACACATAGGACTTGTGATTCATAAGGTTCAACTTTTGAAATCTCTCGAAACGATTTTTAACGTAGGGGAGAAGCGAGATTTTGAAAACCGCGTCATTTTTAATTATTCTCTTACGATTAAAGTTTAATTAAAAATATTGTGATTTTAGAAAACCTCTCGTTTCGAAAATTTGGAAATTCCTTAAAGATAAAAACATGTGGTTCCACCAATATTTGATTAGGGTGTGATTGGGCACCCAAAAACGTTGTCATTTTAAATAAAAATTAATTTTAATTAAAATGACAAATTTGCAGTCAATGTTACCAAAATCTGGGTTCGGGAGTCGGTTACGCGTGGGGAAGGATTAGCACCCCCACAGCGCCCTAAATCGGTACCTAATCGATTAATTAATGTCTTTGCAACGAATTTCACAAGTTCGAATTTAATTTGATTTATGATCCCTCAAAACAATAATAATACAAACTTCATAACATTCAAAGGCAACAAAATAGATTTAATTAAAATTACCGAGTCATTAGAAAGATAAATAATATTCGATTATTTACAAATATTGAGACCAGACCTTTAGGTGAGTTCTAACGATCTTTTCTCAATGAATTTAAATAGCTGAATATTTCTGTTTCTTTCATTCCCAAATTTTACAGTAATGAATCAATTCTTTTGGTGACACTGTTGGGATATACTTGTAATTTAAAATCGTCTAAAATAACTTTCTAATAAGTTAAGAAAAGTCATTCCGACAATTTTAAATTAAAAGGATATTACCCTTAATCAAATTATGTAATAAGAGTTGAGTTATGCACGTGAGGATATCAACAAAAATTAATGATTTTAAGAAAACTTATATCTAGATGAACACACAAATAAATAAAAAATGTCATGACAAACAAACATAAGGACTGAAGAGGAATGAGCAATAAACTTTAAAGTTAAAATCATAAATTGAGCACAAATTGAGTTCTAAGATATAAACCATCACATTTCATGTACTGAAATTGAAATAAATTCCTAAGCATACGTAGGACTGAAATTAAATTCGCATAAAACAAAGGAACAAAATTACTAACATGAAAAATTCGGCCTAGGGATTAAAACGAAACATGCAAAAACATAAAAGCAAAATGTCTAAAATAACAAGAACTAAATGACACAACATTTGGGAATGAAATTAAATACGCATAAAACATGGAAACAAAATCAGAAATACAAAAACATTGATTTTAGGACTAAGTTAAAATGCGCATAAAATATGGGAGTGAAATTAGGAAGACAAAGACATTGATTTAAGGACTAAAACGTAGCATGCAAAACAATGAAAGTTAAAAGTCTAAGAAAACAACAACTAAGTATATTACCACTCAGGACTAAAATGCAACATGCAGAACACGAGGTTCAAATGTTTAAAACAGAAAAGAGTAAATATACTAACACTTGGGACTGAAATTAACCTTGCGTAAAATGAAGATTAAATTAAAAACAACATTTTAAGGATTAAAATGCATTAAATCAAAGATGGGCGTGGCTCTCTCAGCAATAAACCCGTACGCAAACAGCAAACCCTAAACCTCTATACGACGCCATTTCACTATACCAATATATATAACATATGGTGTAAAATCTAAACCCTAATTTCATTTGCATCATATCTCAGCCGCAATGCTCTCTTCTCTCCCTCACTCTCCTTTTCCCGTCTCCCTCTCGGCCGAAAGCCTTAAGGGCTCCAACTCCGGTGACCAACGACGAACAGGTAAGTCTGAATGACCCTCTTCCTTTACTCACTTATTTTTTTTAAAAAAACTAAATCTAAAATCACACCTATAATCTACATGCAAGCTCTCCGAGAGATACCCAACGCCGACGGGAACCAAACCCTCGCTTCGCAACCCAGTCGACTAAGGTAACCAAGGTAAACCTCTCCTTTCTTTACTTCCTATTTACTTTGGTTTGAAGACAATACCAGCATATACAAAGAAAACGTGAAAATGGAAACAAACCAAAAGAGAGTACCTCAAACCCAAAACGTGTTTTCTATTGCTTTCCCTATTTTTTGAATACAATGAAGGATTGCACTTTCTTTTCTTCTGTAAATTCGAAGGAAAAGATTGAGACCCCCTCCTTTATTTTTTTGCTGTTTTCGTCCCCTGTTTGAGAGCCCCCTTTCGAATGGTTGCTGACCCCAGAGCTCCCTCCCCTGGTTACCGTTTTTTTGTGTTGGTTTTTTGGTTCCGTGCTCTCGCGAACCTCCCCTCTGTTCCTCCGTTTTTTTGATTCCCCCTGCTGTTCTTTTGATTCTGGTTCCTCGTTATTCGTTACCTGCTGTTTTTCAGGGTGCCAGAGTATGGGCACGGTGATGGGGAATTGAACCGTGGAATGCTCGTGGGTAGCAGAAGCTGCTCGGTTGTAGAGCCTGCTGAGCGCTGCTTCATGTGGATTCCCGGTTGTAGTTCACGTGGGGAACATGGCTGCTGTAACCGAGAGGCATGGGTGATTGGAAGTTGTAGGGCGCATGGCTTCATCAGCATGGGCACGGGCGTGGCGCTTGGCTCGTGGAGCAGGGCACGCGGGATGCTGTCGGTTTGTCTGGCGTGCACGAGCTTCACATGGGAGTTGGAAATGGAGCTTCACATGAGGCGCATGGTCAGCGTTTAGTGGAGCAACAGCCCCTAGGGGCTTCACGTGAGCAACAGCTAAATCGGGTCTCTGCTTTGTGGGCTCGAGTCTTGTAATTGTTGTTGTGATTATTTTTACTCTAGTTGGGCTTGTAAGATATAAACGGACTTTAAACACTTTAATCTGGATTTGAATTTGAATTTGAATTTGGTCTTCAATTTATATCTTGAATTCCAAAGTGAAACAAATATGGTTACGATCCAGTTAAGCACCTAAAATTTCCAAATGCAAGCTTCCACGATTTATCACTTAGTTAGTTCGTCATCGAGCACAAAATCTCCAAATAAATTCTTGATCATCTTCAAATGAATTCAAATGGCCCGGATAAAATTAGGGTATTACACCCTATGTTCTCAAAGATTGATGTATATTAGATCGTTTAGAAATACTTATGCATCTTCTAAGAATGATTTCTACTCTAAACTAATTTCTCAAAAATTACACATAGGACTTGTGATTCATAAGGTTCAACTTTTGAAATCTCAACTTCGAGGAACATATCATTCTCTTTTTTATTATTCAATGATTCATTTATGCAACTACTTTGTGAGGCAACGATAAAACCTTGGACACCTTAAGTTCATTTAGTTCATGTTTTGATCCCAACCTAGCTAAATTAAGAATGAATTCTTCAGTGTTTTGTGTTATGTTATAGGTCAGTATAATAATAATTCCAAAAAATGATGATATCCCCGGTATGCCTCAACGGAAGATTAAACTATTTACATTCTGACTTGGAAATATTAGAAATCCATAATAAAATCCAAAGCCTAATTCTGTTTTCTCAGTTAACTTTGACAGATTTCCCTATTTTTGTAATTTGGTTAAGTACCTGAAATGTAAACTTAAGTATGTTATTCTTCGAAAACTTTTAGTAGTTCAAATTGAAATTCATCCTATATCCATGAAATGAATAAAGAAATTTGAGAACTCTGCTAATGGTCAATAGTATAAAGAGTTATTGTAGAACTCATCTTGAAATGCTTGAGTTGTTGAAAGGTTAAAGTTGCTCATCAAGTTTCATCAGGACTACTTCACTTTGCGTGTATTTCAATTTTTCAAAGCTGGTTGACTTGTATATCAAGTTTCATCCTATATCCATGATTCGTATCTTATTTCTAAAATTCTATGTAAGAAATTTTAGGAAAGCAAGTGAATCTTTGTACCCCTAATTCTCTTTGAATACTGAATTCAAATTCAAGTTTCTTTCAATAAATATTTCATGCTCAGAGATAGCGCAACCAATATTAAGGTAAGAAGAGAAAAATCTTAGCCTCTAATCAAGTTTTATTTTCAAATGGTTTTGTTTAAAATATTGTATCCATATTAGTGTTATATACCTCTCTGCTAGTTCGTATTAAGAGAAAATCAGATGTTAGGCAAGAATCTCTATGAGACGAATTTTTCTTCTTCTTTAAGCCATGATTAGTTAAAAGTCGTCTTTGATAAAATAAAGTTTAGCTCTCGATAATAATTCTTGTAACCTATTAGTTAGCTCTCTCATATGAACTCAATCAAGTCCACCATGTAACACCTAAATCCCAAGGGTTCGAACATCACACGGAATCATCGAAGTGACTAATCATTCCTTTATTATCACGTTGAAAACATACTCACTTTAAAAACATTTACATAAGGTACGGAACCATAAACATTTACAAAAACGGGCCCCAATTTAGGAACTTGACAAACAAATAAATAATTGAAATGTTACAAGCTGACTCATTTTAAAATATGACCACTACATGCCCACTAATCTGACATCACTGTACTCTGGTACTCCATTGAGACTCATGCGATGATATCGTTATTCCAACATACTTCATGAAACCTGAAATCTGTGAACGGAAACATATTTCAAACGCTGAGCTCGCAAGCCCCACACCACACAATACCTCTACTTTACAACACTACATGCATTCATAAAATAAGCATTCTAACAAGTACAATTAGAGAAGCAATACTAATGCAACATCAAGTTACTAAATCATCTATTCAAGGTACATCCACTCTCATAATAATTTAAGTCTCATGCTTCCCTTAGTCTAATACTAAGGGTCTCACCATGAGTATACATGAACTCGTCTCTAACCAATATATCATGCTACTATACATCATCATATGTAACATACAATCATCAAACACCAAGCTGAGGTAGGCGTCATGGTGTGGTAAGAGGGTTTTGCCACATCTCAGGACAGACACCCCTCTTGTAACGCCCTAATCCGATATGTCATGAAGTCAAACAATTAGAACGCGACACGAGACCAACAGAATGGCTAAACCAAAAATTTTCTTTAAATACCTTTACAAATCATAAATTTAAAAGCCATTCCAGATAAAATAAATCGACATAATTAAATAAAGTTTACATCTTGAGATCTTAAAATAAGTATACCAAAATAATACAATCGAGTAATTAAAATAAGTTATGAATCAAGTACAAGAAGGTCTATGAATAATACACGCCCTCTAAGAAATAAGACTTAAGACGTACATTGCTGCTCAAATTTTCTGGAACATCGCTTGTGCGATAAGATCTTCTAATGCTCCTTCTACAGACCTGTGCAAGGAAATAAATTCTGAACGCTGAGCTTACTAGCCCAGTGCCACACTAACAAATAAACCATACTAGAAGTGTTCATTAAATGCTTATATTATCGAGTGAAATAATGAAAGTGAATATACTCGTATACTTCACGTTACTCTAGGGTAGACATCACAGTGTGGTCAGAGGGTTACACATCTAGGGACACACACCTCTCTAGTCTACCTAGGGTGAGGTCTAAAATCTTTACATTGGACATAACACTCGACTAACCCACACCTTGCGAGTGTTCGAGCCTTGTTGTTGGGATTACCGGTACACCCCATGGAGCAGAGAAAAAATTATTCGATGATCTCACCAGTGATCTAAGCACAAAAAATCGAATTCGGGAGGAAAGGATGCGAAATTCACATCGGGTTCTTGGAATAACAGCAAATTGGTAGTATTGTCACGAACATATCGAATCCTAAGCCTGCAAGAAAAAGCGTCATGACCTCTACTCAGTTCACCCAGTTGAGAGCAAATTTTCCCCTTTACCAAAACTATTTTGAGGAAAATGTGTAAATAGTGAAAACTACTGCTAGGCCATTATTTTCTTTTTATAGTGATGTTGCCATGACCCTTAGGGTTTAATTTCGAATTTTACTAAAAGAAATATAATTACTCTAATTATATCCTTTTAATATTTTATTTAGCATGTTAAATATAATTCATATTACATATATATATATATATATATATTAATGTCAATCATACATTTTATTCATGTACATGTATAACTCCAAAATAAAATTGTACATGTATAACTCATTTATTATTTGCTCATCTCAATCTTGGGGTGTGACCCTGTAGGTTCCTTTAACGTTAATAGTAATATTAGAACCTCTCCATGACTAACTCCATTATGTATTATATCCTTTTTTCCTTTATATATAGAATAGGAACAAGTCCTAGAATAGTCACACTTGTATGACACATCTAATATGTCTTGATATCTAGAGAAGACTATAATAATCAAATAAATTATGACATCTCATATGTGGTCAGAGGGTTTCACTATATCTCAGGACAAACACCCCTCTTGTAACGCCCTAATCCGATACGTCATGAAGTCAAACAATTAGAATGCGACACGAGACCAACATAATGGCTAAACAAAAAATTTTCTTTAAATACCTTTACAAATTATAAATTTAAAAACCATTCCAGATAAAATAAATCGACATAATTAAATAAAGTTTACATCTTGAGCTCCTAAAATAAGTATACCAAAATAATACAATCGAGTAATTAAAATAAGTTATGAATCAAGTACAAGAAGGTCTATGAATAATACACACCCTCTAAGAAATAAGACTTAAGACATACTTTGCTGCTCAAACTTTCTGGAACATCTCTTGTGCGATAAGCTCCTCTAATGCTCCTCCTACAGACCTGTGCAAGGAAATAAATTCTGAACGCTGAGCTTACTAGCCCAGTGCCACACTAACAAATAAACCATGCCAGAAGTGTTCATTAAATGCTTATATTATCGAGTGAAATAATGAAAGTGAATATACTCGTATACTTCACGTTACTCTAGGGTAGACATCACAGTGTGGTCAGAGGGTTACACATCTAGGGACACACACCTTTATAGTATACCTAGGGCGAGATCTAAAATCTTTACATAGGACATAACACTCGACTAACCCACCCCTTGCGAGTGCTTGAGCCTTGTTGTTGGGATCACCGATACACCCCATGGAGCAGAGAAAAATTATTTGATGATCTACTAGTGATCTAAGTACAAAAAATCGAATTCGGGCGAAATTCACATCGGGTTCTTGGAATAACAGCAAATTGGTAGTCCTGTCACGAACATATCGAATCTTAAGCCTGCATGAAAAAGCGTCACAACCTCTACTCAGTTCACCCAGTTGAGAGAAAATTTTTCCCTTTCCCAAAACTATTTTGAGGAAAATTTGTAAATAGTGAAAACAGCTGCTAGGACATTCTTTTCTTTTTATACTGATGTTTCCATGACCCTTAGGGTTTAATTTCGAATTTTACTAAAAGAAATATAATTACTCTAATTATATCCTTTTAATATTTTATTTAGCATGTTAAATATAATTCATATTACATATATATATATCTATCATATATATAATGTCAATCATACATTTTATTCATGAACAATAAAATTGTACATGTATAACTCATTTATTATTTGCTCATCTCAATCTTGGGGTGTGACCCTGTAGGTTTCTTTAACGTTAATAGTAATATTAGAACCTCTCCGTGACTAACTCCATTATGTATTATATCATTTTTTCCTTTATATATATAATAGGAACAAGTCCTGGAATAGTCACACTTGTATAACACATCTAATGTGTCTTGATATCTAGAGAAGACTATAATAATCAAACAACTTATGACATCTCATATGTGGTCAGAGGGTTTCACTACATCTCAGGACACACACCCCTCTTGTAACGCCCTAATCCGATACGTCATGAAGTCAAACAATTAGAACGCGACCAAGTTTAATTTTGAATTTTACTAAAAGAAATATAATTACTCTAATTA